CTATGCTATAGTGAGCTGCTATAGCCATCATCATGTGGAAGGACCTGCTGGCTAAGGTTGCTGCGTAAGTGTCTTGTAAGGTGATATTTTGTTGCTAGTTACCTTAAACTATAAGCCTTGCCTTGCACTTTAGCAGGTAATAGTGCTTATCTAGCTTGTAGGTGTACACCTATATATAGTTAGGTATCTAGTGTCTAGTCTACTTAACTTATTTTATTAGCACCTCTAACTATAACTTTATCTCTTAATAACTTGCAAGGTGTGCTTGCTTAGCCTCTTAAAATAGTTCACCTATAGGGTGATCCTTAAGCTTAGTTTAGGAAGTAGGCAGAGGCAGAAGTTAGCTTTAATAGGGCTTTAAGCCTTTGGCAAGTATTCTCCTTATCTTAGCCTTGTCTATAACTTCTCCTCTGTATGTTCTAACACATCTAGCTTAGGTTCCTGCAAGGAATAATGCTGCCTAGGGGACAGTAGTTAAAGACGCTTGTTAGGACAGGCTTATTTAGTTACTGGCTATAATGCCTGCAAGTAGCGCTGCTGGTGGTGGTGTTAATAGAGGGGTAGGATAGCTATCCTGTATCTTCTGTCTATAATAGTAGCCTAGCTGGTCTGCTTTGTCTTGTTGTAAAAGCTCTACTAGGGCTTTGTCCTTATAAAAGGAGTCTATTTCTAGCTATTATGTAGGCCCTAGTAGCTTAATAGATTATATATATATTGCTATTTCTTTAAGTGTGTTATATATAAGATTCTCTATAAGGTCCTTAATCCTCCTGTTAAATACTATGTCTTTATTAAATATAATATCTTAAGTTTTTATTACCCTACTAAGTAATAGTATCTAGATTTAATAGATATTTAATAACAAATAGCCTACTAAATAGCTAATCTAGGCCTTTAGATCTAGTCTTTAAAGACGTGACTTGCCTCTATATGTCTTGCTTGTTATAGCAAAAGCTTTGCACCTATATACTTTTAGGAGTGTAAGGTTAGGCTTTTGTAGTAATATTACTATGCTATTACTAAGAGTAACGTAAGTGTAGAATATTTTGTATAGTATTTTCTAATAGTTTGCGTAGTTTAGCGTTTAATTGTAGAGGTATACTACTGCCCTTGTGGTTTCTAGCCACAGTTTCTAGGAGAGGTTGGCATTAAGTTGCATTGCTTAAGCTTTCTCCTTGTTCACACCCCCTAAGTGTTCTGTATTGCTGTTCTGTGCTCATGTGTCTAGCGCTAAAGGCTCTACAATAACTACTTTTGTTGCAAGCTATCTTATAACGTCTAGTTTAACTATAGCTATTTTATTATCTACCTTAATAGTCTTAGCTAAGATATTATAGTAATTCTTTAAGAACAGGATAAATATTAATAGCACCTTAATTATTAACTTTACTGTGTAATAATCTGTAAAGTAGAGGCCCCACTATAGGCCTAAGAACCTATTAGTAATAAGTATCTAGCTCTTTTCTCTAGTATCTCCTTAGGCTTTATAGGAGTAGAAATTAATGCTAAGTCTCTCTCTAGGTCTAACTTTATAGATTCTTAGTGCGCAGCTAATTTATTATTGTGATTTAGCCCTTCTACAAGTGTTATATTTAACTATAGTAATGCCTTAGATGCGCACCCCCTAAGTTCGCTAAACAATGTGCTTAACAGCTGCAGGACTAGGGTAACTAAGTTGCTTATGCCACAGCATTGCTAAGGCTTTTTAAGGTCCTCTCTTTGTTTATAAGGTAATCTTGTGTGTGTAGAATAAAGCAGGTAGAAGTAGGTTGTATTTAAGCACCTATTATCTAAAGATCTTAGTAAGACTTCTAATAACCTTATTATTAGGCCCTTATAGTGTTATAGGGTTTAACTTAGTATTCTACTAGATGCCTTATTATTATAGTAGGTAGAAGGATACTAGGTTGCACAGAATGTCTAGGCATAAGGCTATATTGTGTAGTAATAGGTTGTAGTGCCTAGCTAAGTTGTAGAAGGTTAGGTTAACTATGCTATACCCTTTAATTTCTACCTTATTATTACTAGCCTATATACAGTCTGCTAGTAATAGGAGACAGAAGCTAAGGACTCTATTAGGGCTATTAGTAATATAGCACATTAATCCTAAGTTAAGAATAAAGGAGTTTATTAGTAGGTAGGGGTTAATATCTTTTTTAATTATTACTAAGTAGAACACTGCCTTAATAGAGGTAACCCTCCTACCTACAAGTTATTACTTAGTAGTCTTAGGTATTTAAGACATTTTTATTTTTAGAGTTATTATATAGGGTTACTTTCTAGGTTAAAGCTGCTCTTGTAAGTTAGCGCTGTGCTCTATCCTATATTGTACTATTGTAGCTATTCCTTGCTATAGTGTAAACTATTCTAGAGCTCTATTTTAATAGAAATAGTAGCAATCTTCTAGTCTATAGCGTTGTTCACAGGCAGGGCATGTTGCTCCTTTAGCTGCTGCTGTATCCGTCTTAAAGGACTGCCTAGATATAGTGCTTTAACTAATAGTTTGTTTTTAATAAGGTCTTCTCTAGGATAATGTGCTATTAGTAATAGCTAAGGCGTCCCTGTCTATGCCCTAGGTGGTTTCACCACTATTAGTGAGGAATAAGGTGTTCCCTGCAACAGAGGCACCACTCTATTGTCTCCCCCTACTAGTAGGGTGGTACTTGCTTATATACTCTTAGAAGTGTTTTATTATATCTTTATAAGTAATAACGTGTCTCACCACCAAGTCGCGCACCACCACCAAGTCGCGCACCACCACCAAGTCGCGCACCACCACCAAGTCGCGCACCACCACCAAGTCGCGCACCACCACCAAGTCGCGCGGCCCTACGAACTTTGCGACTATTTGTAACGGTCTAGACTCTAAAGCTAAAGAAGAGCTAGAGCTAGCCGGTTACATTAGCTTAGCCGGCTTGGCCTAAGCTGGATATATATTATCTACGCAGTTAACTAGACGTCTAGTTAACTTGTGCATGCTTTTTAGCAAAAGTTGTTAGGAAGTAGATATCCTTTATTGGCCTTTGGCCAGACCACTACACTATTACAGACCATTACTCTCCACCACAGTACTGCGCACAAACATACTGTGCCTTATAGTACTATTTAAAAGCATCACTATTATCTTAATCTACAATTTCTGCAGTGCAGGTGCGTAAGTTGTAGCTAATCTTGCTATAATATCTGCAGTGCCTGTCTTTGCGCACCCTCTTTGCACCCTGTTTAGCTACCTCCCTACTACCACAGTCCTTCTTAGCTATTAAATCTAGTATATTACCTACTATTAGACTCTTCTCTGCCTAAATATACTTTCTTTTGCAACTACACTGCTATATTACAGTAGCTATTACCTTATAAATACCTGCTAGTTCCTGCGCCTGCAATACTAAATTATGTAAAGTTATAAGACTTTGTTCTTATAATCTTTCTCTAACGTATTTCCCTCTTAGGTATAGCGCTATGCTTACCTAAGCATTGCTATTGTAATCTCTAAGAAGAGAGGATTAGAATGGTGTGCTTACGAAGCCTGTATCTCCTCTCGTTCTTAAGATATGCTGTTCTCTATTTTTAGTAACTAGAAATGTTCTAGACCCTCTGCTTACAAATAGAGTAGCCTACTCTGTAAGATGCTAACGTATACGATTACGTATACACCTACGTAATCTTGCTTGCATATGCAGCAATACTAAGCATAGATAAAGTAGACCCACCTAGAGGAGTCTAGAACGTTCTGCTTAGAAATACAAACAGAGGAGAGGAAGCATAAATACCTCTAGCTCTCCCCCCTCTTTTCGCTCTGTACCTAGCCTAGGAATCTCTACCTAGTATCTAATATAATAACTTGTCTATTATATTACATAACCCTACCTTACCTCTATTAGGCTATACGCTTCCTATTTGGACAAAGCTAGTCTAGATTTGTCTAGGTCCTTCTAGACTAGGAAGAAAGTAGTCTAGTCCTTCCCCTACTTTCTTTACAAATTATAACCTATAATAGCTATGCCTTTTACAAGCAAATTAACAGCCTATAGAAGAGGAGAGACTAGTAATTCTCTGTGCCTTTGTATGCGCTCACAAACAAGCGTTAATTGCGCCTCTATCTCCTTTATAGTAGCTAGTGTTTTAGACTCCTACAGGGTAGTCTCTAATAGTGCAGGTGTTGGCGTACAAAGCACCACATTAAGCTTTAATAGCACCTACTCTAGGTTGTAAGGAACTAAGCCAGCGCCTTTAAAGCTTGCTAAGATTTTCTTCTTTGTAATTGCCTTGTTAAAGGCAATATAGAAGGCTAGTAAGAAGGTCTCTTTCTTAACTTGTGTGATAGAGTACCTTGCCTAGCTGTCAATCTCAGCAGAGTACGCGCGCTTTAAAGGGGCAAAACAGCCCACGTCAAGCGGCTGCAATAGGTGCGACGAGTAAGGAGGCATACAGAGAGTAATAATCTTCTGTTCCTTACAGTACTTAAGGAATTAGTAACTGTTGTAGCTCTTATGGCTGTCTATAATTAGCAGACAGTACACGCTAACAGTACGCTCCTTTGTATGCGCGTTAAAGTGCTTCAACTACTTCAGGCTAAGCTTATTTATTGTCTAGCTGTTAGCGCTAGTCTTAATTACCTAGTTGTAAGGTAGTCCTAGATACTAGCTTGATATAAGGACCTTGCCGCCAAAGATAATAAAGGGTGGGATAGCCTATCTACCAGCGCAGATGCCCTAGATAATTGTGACCTAGTCACAGTTGCCTAGCTATATCTTCTTAGGATTGCTTTGCTTCTTAGAGCCTATAAAGACTATTTAAGCAGTAATTATGCCTATTATAAAGCTAGACTTATTAAAGTTGTGTGTGTCTTTATCTAGGATCCTGTACTTCTTCTTTGTCCTTCTTACTAGCTTAAACTAGGGCTCTATAATGCGTGTGTCTTTGTTTAGGGCTTGTTAACAATTGTATAGACAGCTGCGTCAAAGCTTGACTTCCTTAGTACATGTTCTGAACCTGTCTACCTAGTTCTTGCTAACAGGTCCTTTACCGCGCGCAGCGAGCAGATTGTTGGCCATTTCTTCTACTATAGTCCTTGTAGGGCCTATCCCTTGCTTATCTAGCTCTAGTATACGTGTAACTATTGCGTCCTCTTCTGTCTTCTTAAGCTTCTTTAAGTTAGCTTTGCAGTTGTGTTGTGCGTGTTTTCTAGCGCGTTAGTCTCTTAGGGTTAATTTAGGAACATTAAACGCTCTAGACATATATTTTGTACTATTAGACATAGTAGTATTTGTAGCCTAGATTGCAAGGTATAGTGTGCCTTTATTGTAGATTAATTGCGCGTTGCGTTGTGGTGGCATCTTTGTAATAGATGTAATAGTCGCAAAGTTCGTAGGGCCGCGCGACTCGGTGGTGGTGCGCGGCTCGGTGGTGAAACACGTTATTATCTTCTTATTAACTATAGTCCTAAAACAAAGTTACCTAGGTTAGTGCTATCTTTATTACTAAGTTAAGAAAGTCTTAAATAATGTCTTGTATGTTCTGTGTCTCTGCTACCTTCTCAGCCTCTGTGTTTGTTGCAGCGTGATTGTATTCAGCAAGCCAGGTACTCTAGCTACCTAGTAGCCTTATAGGCTTAAGTGTAGCAAGATATTAGTGTCATGCTTGTAGTTATTCTTTATTAGCGTTGATGCCAACAGTTAGCTTAAGGCTGGTAAGCCATAATCTTACTATTTTACCTGGCTTACAGCAGTTCTTTATAAGGTATGTTAAGACAGAGTGTTAGATAAATACTACTACCTTATTAAGACTAGCTTGCTCCTTACAATAGTCTTAGTTAGCTATCTTGTATAACTTAAGACGGCTCTTCTAGTAGTAGTTGTCTTCTTTCTATGCCTTAAGTCTATTTAATAAGAGCTCTGATAGTGCTTTAGGTAGCAATGGCTCTCTGTCCTCATTGTTACTAAGTGTTGTTCTCTGTTTGTATGTCTTAAGATCTGGCGCGGCTAGTAACTGCAGCTTTGACTTTGGGCGCGTGAGTTAATTAGGATCAATTTAATCCCACACGTCTAGAGAGACACAGCGTATCTCTAGCTGGCGTAGCCACGGGGTGTACATTGTATAGTTAGTAAGTACAATAGTAGGTGTGCTAAGGATTAACATTATTCTAGCTTAGTTATAGCAGTAAGACTCTTAATTATTAGATTCATGTACTGTCGTTAGAGTATAAACTTAACAAGATTGTAGGTAGTAAAAATTATATATATTCTCTGTCCTATCTATTTTATTGCCTCTCCTCTAATCTTATGTACTCTTAACCTGCCTTTCTATTAATTATTAGCTAAGGCTTTGTCTTAGTAGTCCTAAATTGCTTAGCTACCCCTCTTTTACATGCTTGGCGACCTTAATCTAGCGTGTTACTAATTATTAGGCTTAGTCTGTGGGCCCCTGCCTTGCTTGGTGAACTCGGCTGAGACCTCCAAGTGATGTCTCTGTACAGATCCGGCCCTGCCAACCTTTCCTCAGTAACCCAATATCTGACAAAACCGCTCTACTAATTCTAGCAATACGGCCTGCTCACCAATCGTTCCCTCCACTAAGCAAGAGGCGTAATACCACCAACATAATAGGCACCTTGATCACCCGATACAGACAGCAGCCAGCCGGAACGTGTTGTCTACCTCATAAACTCCAGCTCTCAAGCATGTAGACTACTCGTCGGTCTATACTAGGTACACCAAGCCGCCGTACCAAGGTCGCCTCTCTACATCCTCAACACTACTATACACTCAGTTCGCGCAGATTAGTATATCAGCCATGTGCATAATACATACTGTTCCGTTTATAGTAATAAGTGTTTGTCAGTATTACGTGCCTTTAGTTGCGTGAGTAGCCATACCATCCTAGATAGGTTCAACATCAAGAACCCAGACGTCACACCTAATATAAATAGCGGTCTTGTGCAGGACTTTCAGCGCCAGGATATACCAGATTTAACAGCGGATTTGCTAGAGGTTCGCAGGATAAGGGGTCTCCAGTAGATTGTGTTGTCCAGATTTATTCAGGAAACTAGATACGGGGGATACAGGAGGCTCACAGGGACGTTTACGTTCCAGGCTAGACGTTCACAGATTAGACCATCGGGCTCTACAAGAATTCACAGCGCACTTACAGAGCAGACGGAAAACACTCATCACGCACGAAAACCAAAAGTTCAGGCAGACGTCTACTATGACGGTCATTCTTTTTCATAGTTCCTTCATCGATCTACACCCATCTACTGCTGTCACTACGTCTACTCCGCTACATCTTCCGTCCTTCTTACTCTTAAGCGTAGACATATTTAATCGTGATGCGGGGAATGCACATAGCCTCGTATGGCTGGGGAGCAGTGAAGGGAGCAACGTAAACTGGAGATGTAGGGTAAGCGGGAAGAGCGGCGACACTGGAGGAAGCAGCAGCGCCAGAGGAAGCAGCAGCGCCAGAGGAAGCAGCAGCGCCAGAGGAAGCAGCAGCGCTCGAAGATGCAACAGCGGCAACGCGAACAGACGAGGCGACGACAGTAGAAGAAGCGCTAGGCGTAGGTGTGGGAGCGGCACATAGAGGGGCGGCGTCATTGAGCTTTCCAACGGCCCAGGTCGAGGCGTCGTCGGTGTACTTCTCAAAGTAGCTCAAGTGCTTCTCGACGTCGTCGCCGTTGGCACAGATTGGGTCTCCCTTAGCGCAGTAAGAGCGCAGGACGGGTGCGTAGCGGTTTAGGCGCGCAAGAGAGGCGGCGTCGCGACCGTTCTTCTGTAGATTAGAGCCGTCAAGAACGTTGTATGGCTGATTAGCCTCGTGCTTGACATCGCCCCAGAGGAGAGCAGCAGCAACTAAGTTACCACATTAGCACAGTCCAAGGTTCGAGTATGTCATGTCAAGAATACTTACTAGCATTACCAGGAGACGAGGTAGGGTCTAGACCAGTGGTGATTTGCGAGCATCCACCAGGTCCAGCAAGGATATCTCCGGTAATCCAGGCACCCTGAGAGAAGCCATTGAGGATGAGGTGCGTGCAAGGGCACTTCTTGTTGAAAGCAGTGATCTGGGATAGACCGTTGCGGACTCCCTCGCCAATCTGTTTGCAGTAGTCGCCGCCATACGGGAACACAACCTCAATGTAGTCGCAGGTCTTGCCCTCAGCCCTTAGTTTGCCGCACGTAGCGTCGACGAAGGGGAATGTACGGAAGTCATGGTACGGCGCAGTGTTACCGCGGGCCATAAAGATGACGGCATCGGCGCAGGGAGCGTCGAGCTTGGGGGCTGGGTCTTGAGCGACGGCGACGGCGGCGACAGCGCTGAGCGCGAGAATGTTGCGGATGATGGAAGACATTATTAAAGATTAAAGAGTGTGGTATTAATCGGTCGTCAAAAAGCGAGTGTAATGGTTAGATTGCGAGGTTGGAAGACCTGTGAGAAGAGAGAAAGTCCCCTTGGCTTCGAGGGAACAATTTAATAGGAGCGTTCATCTTGCATTTCAGCCGAACTGGGTGTTGGGTCGGCTCGAACGGGCGGAAAAGGGTAGTGTGCCTGACTAGGTAGATACGAGTTGGATCCCTTTTTGGGTGAGCTATCTACCTTGGGTCGTGCGCTACCGGTAGCAGGAGCGCGGACAAACGTCGTATTATTGAGATTGATGCTGACCATCAGGTTTTGGAGGATGGCCCAGGGGCCAGACGTCCCCTTGATGGATACCTAGGTACCGTCAAACTCTGCCATCTTTGCGAAATGGGTCAACGGGACATCTGAGACGTTGCTGTTGAGGTTTGCATTGAAGCTAACTTTCAGCTCATGGGATCAAGCAGGAACCAAGAAAAATGCTAGCGTGCGTGTTAATGCTTGAGCGATCCTCCATATACGAAGGCATACGCCGTAGAGATTACACCCCTGAGCTTGTCTTAAATAAGACTTCGTGCACGTCCCCTCGGCCAACCCGAAATGTCTTAGCTCTTACCGGAACTCTTCGAGGGCTGCCGTGCCTCATGCCAGACATTCGACAATCTAGATGCACTTTACTTGTTGGATGCAGTCAAGTTTATCTCTCATGCCACTCTAGCTCCGACCTTTTCGCAAACCACAGCTCTTGCCAATCTATACTTCAGAAAGAGCAGAGACATACAGTCAGGTGTCAAAAGTTTCTTCCGCCAAGCTACCTAGCGCGAACTTCAACATCATCCACGCTACCTTCACCCTCACATAACTCAGCCAATGTATAAGCAAATTAATATATTTTTAGTTCAGAGGATGCGCGCGAGGTCAATATTTAGTTTGCCAGCCCCTCGCACGTCTGCATGCAGCGAGGCGTCGCGGCATACTCAAGATAAGTCGCCTAATCAGTGATGCAGGTATGCGCTGCCAGCACTCTTTTAGAGCACTATAAAAGCTATCCCACTCTTCTTCTGCTACACTCAAATTACTATACTAGGGATAGAATTTGTGCATGTATTGTTTGAGATAGAACTAGAGGTGCTTAATTATGTTGAGATTAGGTGAATAGGCCAGCCATTTAATGCAGGTGATGTGGTGACGCGCGTGGAAGCCCCTGACTACCCTTAAGGTGTGTATGCAAGCGTTATCCTGCATAAACAGTTGCAAACGCCTGTAGTAAGGCAGGAGTCCTTTTATTAAGGCCTCTATGTAACTTTGGCTAGAGTACCCGCGCTTTTAAGCATTAAAATCGCGCTCTATAATGACCAGGTGTCGCAGCAGATATCATGCCTATTTACCAGCCAATTCAGGGGTGCAAATGTATGTACATTTTGCCTCTATTTTAGCTGCAATAGTTATGAGCCCAGACGCTAAAACTGCGCAAGCAA